CACCTCAGAGGTGAACCACTTAGGGACAGCGGGGAGTCAAGAATAGGCTCAGCAACAGGAGGCAAGACTGAAGGTTAGAACCCGCTTCTAGTGCCGAGGTATTTATGATTGGTGCCTTTGTGAGGAGGGACGAGACGCACGTTGGTACTGCTTGTGAATTGGAAGGTGGTATATGGCAGCTGTATATCTGTTGTTGTCGTCGCCTGGATTGCAGATGGCGAACGGGAGTAGCGGCATGCTTGATGGAGAGCAGAAGAGAAGCTAGACCCGACCCTAGCCTGATGGGGAAAGGTGAGGGGGGTACAGTGGACAGAAGACGAGACAGAGGCGGACCTTTTACCGCCTAGGCCGATCTACCGATCTAGGCCAGGAAGCTGACGTTGGTGCAACCTTTCGGACGACGCGCTGCTGCCAACCATTAAGAAAATGGTGGTCGCCAATTTGTTTCCCATGTAATTACATTGCCTGCATCGCCTACCTTGCACAGTGGAATAGCTGAACCGAGCATGGCAAGGGATCAACTCGGCAGCACACACCGCGAGCACCAGAAGAGTTGCTCGAACAGCAAGTGCGAAGTGCAGCCCAGCACCCAGGCTGACTTCCAGCCAGGACTACTGCAGGCATGCAGCCCGGTTTGGCCACGCTGGTGGAGGGCTGGGCGGGCAAGCCTACCCACCAAGGTGTGGAGGCGCCTGCCACACACCCCTACCCTCTTCAGGCGAGGAGGGCAGTTGCCAGGCGGCTCAGAGAGGAACCCGAAGGCCCCACGTTATGCAGTAGAAGTGGTGTACATTCTGTGCTAGATAGAGCCGACCAGTTGCCGGGCCCAGAGAGGAGAGTAGCCGATGAGCACAACTGGGCAGTACCACCCGGGCAGTGAAGGGGCAATGGTCCCGACTTGGTGATTAACTAGGAGAACATAGTGGGGAGCTGGGGCGGCTATTTTGTGTGGAACCTTGAATAGAGCGCTGGCTGCATAGCTGTTTGTCGGTTTGTGAGTCTGGCGACGTCCCTGTTGGCCTTCCTAGCCATCATTGCGCCTGCACCAGCCGATGCTGCAGATGAATGCTCTGTCTGCTTATAGTTTCCGCGTTTACCAGTCGCCCATGGTGCGTTCAACCCTGCCTTACCGAATTATACATCAACTTCATGGTTTCCGAATCGGCCGCAGATGTGTTTGGGCGCAATTTCTTACGCATGGCCCGTGATTGTGTTGCACTACGGCCCGGTCTCAAACAAGACCACCCGCTTCCCAGCGCCAATCTCAGTTGCGAGAGACATCTGAGCAAGCCGAAAACCAAAACCTTGTTAAACAAAGCCGAAGGGCCCAGTGCATACCATCGCGTACACCAAGTCGCCACAAGCGGCTCACTACTATTCAAGGCCCCAGACCCTTTGATACTTATAAACTGGGCACTTCTTCTTTTCTGAGCGGGAAATATTGTGTCATAAAAAAATGTTTCCACATTATCCTTATAATAATGTGGTCTTAGTGTTCTGTACCCCTGTCTCTCTTAACCTGTAATCTCGTGGCTGTGCCGAAGTTGACCAGAAAGAACGTGCTGTGAGAGAGCGACGATGCCTTACACTGCAGAAGAACACAGCCAAGCCGCCCACCGGCCGCGCGCCAGCGGCACTCCACGCCGCCCACGACGAAACCGCGCGGCCACACCCCAAACCCCAAGGTGCGTCACACACCCAGGGCCACCTAGCAGCAAATCCGGGCGCACACTCGCAACCGGCCAACAGACACACGAGAAGAAAAAGAGAAGAGAGAGAGAGAGAGACCACCCCAAGCCACTGTGAAAACGGCGGCCACCCCTCTACGGAACAGAGACGGCGGCCTAACCAGCCAGGACCGAGACAACAACAAGGAACCTCCTCATAGCAGCTCGCACAACTCCGCCCACTCTCGTAGCCCCCCTTCCCCCGGCACCCCTTCTCCTCCCTAATTCTCCGAGCCACCCAATGCTTGGGGTGCCACGAGACCCAGACTTCAGCTCCAGCTCCCGGGGGCGACCCGCCGCTGGCCGAGCCAAGCTTGGGGCTGTCTGCAGAGCAGGTTAAGGGGGATCCGGGTGGGAACTAGCAGCTACAAAAGTGAAAACGCCCCTTGTAAGTCGCCCACATAAGCCAGTAAAGAGCTAATCCAGCATGCTGCGTCTTGCGCGGAACATGTCATAGATCACCTTAGCTAATCCGCGATGGTCTTTCATTTGCATACTCTTCAGCATGCCTACAATCAGCGGAAACCTGAAATAGCCCGACGGCCTGCCTAGTGCCCGCCGAGGCAGGGCATCCCAACAAGAAGTGTGCGTGTGTGTGTGCGTGTGTGTGTGTGCGTGTGTGTGTGTGCGTGTGTGTGTTACATGGTTGGGGGTGCGTGACCCCATACCTGTAAGACTACCCATACGAGCCGAAGGCCCAAGGGCAATACTACAACGCCTAAAAGCAACGGAGGAAAGGAAAACACCGCACATCAGCGCAGGCTAGCATCCAAAGGGGGTAATTGAGTTTCGGTGAGCCCACATACGTTCCAACATCCTCGCAAGACGTGCGGGTTCCCATTTCATGGCCTCCAACATGCTCTGTTGATGATCGAATCCCTCTTCAGCACGAATATCATTATAGGCTGGGCATTCCAGTAACACGTGTTTTCATCATCGACTTGGCAATTGGTGCCACAACAGCGGCAAAACCGCTGCGCCCTGGGGACATGGTACTTGGCCCTTCGTGCTCTGTTTGCCTCCAATGCCCAACAACATAAACGAAACTGAATTAGCTTACGATGTGCTAAACGAGAAATGAAAACCTTAGCATGTGTTGGCCACATGGCGGCTGCGGCTCCCGAAAAGGGCAGCCCCATCCAGTGCTTATACTTCGCCATTTGCACTCCCGGTTGCTTCCCATCTAATGGGTACTCCTCTGGCAAGACAGTCAGACGCATATGGTCCCAGCCGCTCATCAAACGCTGTCTTAGTGCCGTTATCATCGCTCCTTCGGGTAGAGGTCTACTCAACAACCAGTCAACACGCTCCTTTACCCCCACGACTTCTTGCGGTACTCCGCTCCAAATGTTGCACCCCAAGAAGGATTCTGTGCTACTGTCTCCCTTAACTGGTTCTGGTGGCTGAGGATTGGCGGACCCGATGGTGCTGAACGGTGCGGTTTGGACGATTTTGTTTTTGGCGAAAATTGCACCGCTGCCAAGGGCCTTACACAGCAGACCGAAGAGACATTTGCTCACTGGCGAGGCCCAGGCTGCGGGAGACGGAGAGTTTCGCCTCCCCGTCACGCCGTGTGTAGTGCTGCACCATGGCGTCGCTGCGCCACCGGCCGTGCGCTTTGCGCAGGTCCGCAGGCACACCGCGGTCGGCGGCAGTGCTATTTCCTCCTATGCGCATGGAATGCGCAGTGATGCGGCGGGTGATCCCCGCCGCTTGCAGGGTCTTGTTGAGCCGGTGGCAGAAGGCAGGGTACGACAGGGAGTGGATCGGCTGGGCCACCGTGCCTGTCAGGGGGCCTGACAGGTACCCCCCGGCCCTGTTCCACTGGACCGGTCGCAAAAGGGGCCCAACGTCCTCGTCCGGCGTGTCTGGGCGGCGTTTGTACCGTCCTAGGGTGAGGAGGCGCTCTGTCAGGCCCACGGGGCAAGCGGCACCGCCGACGCGGGCGATGGGAACCCAGTGACCCTGTCTCTGCTGATCGGTCTTGGATCGAGGGATGAAAACATCCATCCCAGTTGCCGTGATAACCAGAAGGTCCTCGTGAACGCTTATCTCCGCAGCATCATCGAACCGAAAGAACCCCGCGAACATGACCACGACGGCCGTGACGGTCATCAGCTGGTCAAGGGGCGGTTCTGGCCCACCGACCAGCCGGGCCAGCGCCGTGACGTCCGCCGGCTCCAGGGCGTCGCGTTCCAGCTTACGGCCTTGGAGTTGCTTTTTGGCGAGGTCGCGGACGATGCTGCAGGCAGGGTGCTCTGTAGGGGGCGCTCTGCCGGCTAGGCGGAAGTAGGAGCTGATTGCTGCACTCGCTGTGCGGACCCGTCCAGGCCCCACCTTATCTTCCTTGGACGAGTTCAGCAGGGAGAGCAGATAGAGTGCCACCGCCTCACCCGGGGTGTCATAGATGCTTCCGGGCAGTCGCCTGGCCACCCACCACTCGCGGAAAGGTTCCCAAGACCGGGCGTAATCATTGGACGTCCGTGGGGCGAGTGTCTGACCGGCCACTTGGGCAAACTGAGTCGCCAAGGTGGAGAGCTCCGCGTCCGCCTCCGCACCAAGAGCGACCAAAAGAGCCTCAGCCCGGGCATCTAAGTCTGTGTGAGGGGCGCGATCGGATCAGCGGGGACACGGATACGGTTGATGTTAGAGGCCGAGAAGTCGACCAGAAGGGCCAAGGTGGACCAGCGGGAAGCGCCTTTGGGCAGGGGGGCCCCCGAGGTGCGGGCCAGGAAGACATCCGCGGCAAGCGAACTCCACTCACGAAAGGTTTGAACCAGACCCCGTCGGCCGTGATAAAAGGCCACCAGTCGCGAGTAGGCCAGAAAGGCGCGACAAGGCAGAGCCGGCCTCGGCGTGCTGCAGTACCTTGAGGAGGAGGTGAAAGGGCGGGTTCGCCCAGCACCTGTGCCCCCATGAGAACCTGAACGTGTCGACTCCAGACGTCGTTGGAGTGAAATAGCGGGAATAGTACACGGGGAGCTGGAAAGTAGCGTGGGACGCAAATAGGTCGATGTCGAAGGGGCCCCAGGTGTCGTGAAGCCGACGGAATATGCTGGGCTTCAGCATCCAGTCATCAGGGTCTTGCAGTTTCGAAAGCGCATCGGCGAGCTGGTTCTGGCCGCGGGGTCGCCACTCCGCTTGCAAGCGGATATCCTGCTCGAAACAATAGCTGTGCAGCTCGCAGGCGACCTTGTGGGAGTTGTCCGCTTTAGCGGAGCCCTTGTTGACGACATTCGCGGCGTTAAGGTTGTCGGTTTAACCGACTGACCAGATAGACCGGCTGGGCTATCGAAAGATCGAATCGCGTTCAGAATGGCCTGGAGTTCCTGCAGGGTAGACCCCATAGCGGGCGTCCACTCGCCGTGTGCTAGCGCTAACTGGCCATTGAGGATTGTCCAGGCCCCCCAACCTCCGAGGAATTCAGAGGATTTACCAGCGGCATCGCAAAAAATGAGGGAGTGCACCACGGACGGAACCCACAGGTGCCGGCGGCCGTTAAACCGATCAAAGGACGACTCCCAGAAAGACAGTTCCTCCCGCGCGTCATCAGAGAGGGAGAGATGGGTTTCCCAGGTCTGCCGAGTTTCAATAAGTTGACCGAGAGCTCGGGTGCGCAGCCGGGCCCAAGGTCCGAGGGCCCAAGACATGGCCAGGAGTTGGCCTTTAATGGATGCCAATAAGCGGGCGGTCGAGCGCCGCGCCGTGAGCACACCATTGATCCCGGATAAGAAGCGGTCCCGCTTGTTGCCTGGCACGATGAAAACGCCGTCCTTGGTATTGCCCAAGCATGCCCAAGTAACGAATGCGATGTTGCACGGCCCCCAGCATAGATTTCTCTTTATTGACCAGGAAACCGAGCGTCTCCAACTGAGCAACCACTTCGGCCCTGCACCGGACCAAGTTATCGGCGTTCTGGTCTGCGTGAACCTGATCGTCTATGTAGCCCGAGCATCGCCAGCCGCGTTTGCGCCAGGGGCGCATGACCTCTCGCATGAGCTTCGTGAACGCCCAGCAAGCGGAAGCGAGGCCGAAAGGCAGCTGCGTGAAGACGTAGAAGATTCCTCTCCAGCAGAAGCCGAGATATTCCCAGAACCTGGGATCGATATCGAGGTGATGATAGCCGCTTTTAAGGTCCAAAGTAAAAAGGTAATCGCCTGGGAGTAGCCAACCAGGAACCGCCTTCAAGTCTTCGTAGCGGAAGGAGGGGACGTGCAAGTAATCATTTACCGGCCTGCCGTCCCAAATAAGCCGGAGCTTAGTTGCCTGCTGCACGACCCCCAACAGGCAAACCACGCGGGGCTGCGACGGCCATATGCGGGCCGTGCCCGACGCCACCAGATCTGCTACGGCTTTGTCCACGGACGCGGCGTTGGCGGTTGCCGAAGCGTGATTGCGGCCGGAGTGCTGGGGGGGAGGGCTGGAGACCCAACGGAGTGGGAAACCCGACGTGATCCACGAGATGACCAGTGCATTCACAACCCAAGCCTTCCAAGCGCCTTTCTTGCCCGAGAGGCATCCCCTCATCTGGGGCGGCATGGAAGGCAGACCCGCTACTGGTGTCGACCGAAATCCTGAGGCGTTGTCGAAAGTAGGACTACAAAACTCCCCTTTATCCTTCCAGAATTCACCCGTGGCCTCAACCTTCACACCTTCTGGCGCCACCGCGGGGTGGGCTGGTTGTTTCCGATGCGTGGTCAGACTTGCCGGAACTGGTGCGGGGTCCAGGTTTGGCCGACCGGCAGGGACAGGGCCCGGTGCAGGCCGTTTGGGGGCTGGTGAGTCTTCGGGGGCTGCAGTAGGTGGGCCACGCGGCTGACCTAAAAGACGCTGCCCTTTGAATTGGCTGGCGTTGCGACTGACGGACAGCTGGACGTTTTCCACAAGGCCCGGACTGGAGAGGGCCTCTACCCCTAGCTCGGACAGGAAGGCAATAGCATCGTCGTGCAAGAATGAATCTGTAGTTCCTCAGGCTGGAAATTACTGGCGGCTATGAAGGCCTGCAAGCGTGCACCGGACAGACTGTTGGAGACACAGGCGAGGCGAGAAGTAGAGCAACGCTTAAAGAAGTAAGACAGGCAAAAAACGGGTCCCCCAGCCGGCCGGCTGCCAAGGCGACTTGAGTGGCCACTTGGCCTGACGTGAATTATCCGAAAAGAGAAAAAACGGCAAACGCTGCCACAGAGTGAACCCGTGCGACGGTCTGTTCACAACCTCAAAACGCGAACGCGATAGAAAGGAAAAAAGCGGAAAAGCAAGACACTGCCAGTAAAAAAGGTCATCAACGAAGCTTACAATTGCACTCGCGGGCGCCAACAACTGCACACGCTGGCGCCAACAACTGCGCACGCTGGCGCCAACAACTGTGCACGCGGGCGCCAACAACTGTGCACGTGGCGCCAACGACTGCGCACGCGGGCGCCAACAACTGCGCACACAGGCACCAACAACTGCACACGCGGGCGCCAACTATCACGCACACGGGCGCCTCAATCACACGCGCGGGTGCCCAATTTGATGCTCGCTGGCAACCTCATCATAACCGAAAAAGAATATTCCTGCACACACTGCACTGACCAGCGATGGTCCTTGAAGAGAAGAAGCGGCACACGGGCCAAGAAAAAAGACAGGCACGCGGGCCCCACTCTACTGCACCAAGGCCTGAAAACCACTACTTGCCGCTGTGGCCTTCCTTGCGGCCATTGCCATTGCGATCGCTGCAATCAAAGCGCTCTGCATCGCGACCTCTGCTGTACTCATGACCTCCGCGCTGGCCGCCACCCCTGTGGCTGCTGCCGCGCGATCCGCCGCCGCTGCCTCCGCCGCCGGAGCCTCCAGCGCCACGAGAATGGCCGCCGCCATGACTGCCAGGCGTGGAGGCGCTCGCCGTCCGCAAGGCCCAGTCCTTCTGTTTCCGCACGAGGGCCTCCGCTTTTTCACCTTTTGGGATCCGTGTGCCGATAATGTTGTTAAAGCAGTGATCCGCGGCTGTCAGACCTATACGGGGCTCCGAGGCTAGCTGGGTGTCACCTCCATACCGATCTCGGCGCGAAGCTGGAGCGGGTCGGTCCACTCAGCAGCCCTCTCATAGCAGCCAGCATCGAGGTAGCTGCGAATGAGCTGTAAGCCGAGATGGAAGCCTGCGAAGGCTTGCAGACGGTGACCGATCACGTCTCTTGGCACCTTCTGCTCATTGGCCATGGTGCCTTCACGCAGAAGAGCATACAGCCTTGTCCAATAGTCAGCGTACAGGCTGTAGGGATC